CAGATTTCTTGCACGCTTGTTGTATTGTTACTGTAGTGAATTAACCAGCTATGACTACATTTATGTTAAAGTACAGTTCAGATCATCATGACCTGCAGTATAGTTTATACTTATGGTATATGATTTTATGTATAGTGTATGTTATACAGAAATATTCTTTATTATGCAATACTTGCCTGTAATTTCAAAATGTATACATACTCCTCTAGTATTGGAACAAATCATACATACGTCAACTTGTTAGTGGGGACTTTTTTTCTCAATCTTGATCACCAGAGAATTATTTTTTATATTCAGCTTATGAGGAGGAACAGAAGATATTTACGGATGCAAGAGTGGAAACTGTTACCAAGTTATATCGCAATAGAGAACGTCAAGCAGGTCTTGCACATCTTAATTTGATGCCTACTAGATGGCCTTCAACATTCGAAATAAAACTGTTCACTGAAAGGTTTCTTCAAAGCAAACCCGCTGATATTAAAACATTGCAACCCCAATTTGATGATGATGAAGTTGCCTCAACATCAACATACATTCAGGTAATTTTCCTTCATTTTACTTTCTTACATTTTAATAGACATTACACTTTTCATTATCACAATCCGACTAATGGGCTGATCCCTGTACGTTCGCCATCCATGCATTTCCACCACAAACTTCACGCATACATCATATTTCTTGTGATACATATACGCGACCATTCGTTACATCTTATTCAAGATGCCATCAAAATCAAGTATTTCTGCTATTCTGGGTCGGACATCATTCAAACATTCGACATACATTCGACATAATGCGATATTGATGTCTTTCCTTTTTTAGAATGAATTAAAAATGACTATCTAGCGGCTTTTTTAAACAAACGCTGTTCTAGAACCATATCTTCGAATTTATAGATTCGCCATGCATTATATGTTGCACACATGCACATATAAATCAAATGGCGGTTATCTTTATCTTTATCATCAAAATCAAGCACTTATGCCATTCTTGACCCATACCACAGTTATACCTGGACAGCCATAGTCCATCTTGGTACATATACTGGTACATTCATACTGGAACCGTAATGTTTTCAGATCAGTCGAAATAACCAAATGCAAATGCTGTTCTAAGGGCCATGTTTCTGACCTACATTAACTAATTACAATCAAAATTTACAACTGTATTATACATTTTGTCAATTGTTTCAAAATAGCTGAATCATTTCTGTTTTGTTTACTATTTAACTAATGGGATTTTTATATAAAAGAAACAACTTTCCTAGTTAATTATACAATTAAAATGTCACTTCTCGAAAGTGTTGTGATTCTATTTATGAGCATCCATATGAAGGGTTGTATTGGATTGAGCATGATAGCAAAGTTATCAACCTATCATTTTTCCACAAATAGTAAAATTTATAATATGGCTGATTACAAAAAAAATGTTAACACTGAGGTAAATCTAATTCATAATTTGGGCATCTTGATACTGTTGGAAAGGAGGGTGTGACATTAATTTAATAGTTGAATATATTCCATTCCGATCAATGAAAGTATTCTGATCTCTAGGTTCTGCTCAATTCCATTGCAAGTTGTATTGGGATATAGTAGTAAAACTAACTAAGTTGTTAGTTATAGTTTGTACCTCTACTATAAGATAATTTATGTAATTTGTAATATCGTTAGATTTCAATTTTATCAGTTCATTGGCTTTTATGAGAAATATGTGCCTTTGATTTTGATAATTTGCTATTAGTTTTCAAGAATCAGTTGAAAATATAACTGTTTTACCCAAAATGACAAATATTTACAAAAATGGAATTAATGATATCAGCACAACTATAACAAAGCTAAAAGAGGGCGACGTAACATTTGGCTAGCTGTTTTCGAGTTAACACATGTTATAAAATTCACTACGTTCAATTACCCACCATAGACTCCGGTCAGTCAAAATGACTATTTTGAACTGTAGCGATTAATCAGTGATTCTGCCGGTGACGGAAATATAGAATCCAGGTCAGGGGAAGCCCCATGACCTCAAGATTCTTTTACCCGTTACGTCACGAACCCACGTGACCGAGGCCACTT